GGGAGTCAGCGACCGCCATCTATCCAACACTCCAATCTGCTAAAAGTCCAAAAGCATAAAACAAGGCCTATACCGATGTTGAGCGGACATGTTGGTGCACTTCTGAAAAGTCAGTACTTTCAATGAACTTCTAGTGAATAATATTCGACTCATGATATGCTGCTTGCATACACGAACACCAAGTAATTACTGCTTCTTTCGCAACCTGTCAAAACCCCCAAGAGCGCTGACATCAGAGGGAGTGGAGTTGTAAAAGTTGAATCATGCAGGCAGTCATGACCACTCCTGTCGTTACTTATTGACCCTCTCCTGCCTGCAATTGTGAAATGGTTTAAAGGGTTGCTGTCAAATCTGCACACAGGTATACACACGGACATATTTACCATCTAAACGCAGACAGGTCCCCCAGAGGAATGCAGGCCAAGAAAACAACTACTAATTAAGCAGTCCCAGCAAGTAGGTAGAAGGACATATAACATTAAAGGGGATTTAATGAAGAGCACAGGCTGTATTACTGAATACTCAGGCTTATTTTAGCATACTCACCCACCAGAGCAGGGTTTAGTTTCTCTTGCAGAATTTCACAAGTCCTAAAAAATAAGACCCTAAATTGAAGAACAAACTTGATCCAATAAGATGTGTTTTATGAATAAAGCAACTCGAAATAATTACAGTTTAAACACACTGTCAGGATACCAGTGGGTTACAGGTAAAGGCACAACTGCTGCCAATCTAAAGCAGTAAAACTAATAAAGTTAAAGTATATAACCAAAACTGTAATGATCAGCATTAAGTCTCATTCTGTATCGCTAAAGCACTGACTAAAAAATATTTAAAAAGCGCACAGCACTCTCTAACCTTCTACGACAAAGTCTGACATATAGCTAGGGAGTATTCAACATAGGTTAGCAAGCTTAACCACTTCCTAAAATTAAACACTGGGTCAGCAGTCAAACCCATAGCTAAAGTAACCAGCACATGAGACATACCTCTGAGAAAGGCAAAGACAGTACACGCAAGGAAGTGAAGAGGCACAAATGCAGAGACGAAAAGAATCAGAGGAGGAAGAGGGCAACCTAAACACAACGTTTGCCAGGCAGGAACTGCCTTTCTTAACTCTACCATCAGTGCAGCAGAACGAGAGACGAGGAGGGGGAGAGGATCACGGAGAGAGGGGAAGGAGGGGTTAAAAATAATGCCGGGGGGTAAGGTTCACCCCTTCATTGCTATGCCAGCTCCAACTAGCTGCCTGAAAGCTTAAGTAAGAAAGCTTAAGTAAGTAGAAACACTACTCACACAGATCACGACAATCCTCTGAAAAAGTGTCCAGGGTCTGAGCAACTGAAGGAGTGCACAATGTGGTGAACTGAGGAAAGTTGAAAGCAATCGGAGCTCTTATCAACACAGACATGCCCAACTATGGGAGTGGTATCACAAAGGTATATAAGGGGCTGTAATCAGCCCCTCCTTCACACTGGTAGCGTAAGCTCTGCTCAGGTTACTCATGACTCATGACTACTTTTTAATGCTGCATGTTGCATTATATTTAGTCCTTTAATTATAATCGTAAATATACAAGTGTGTTTTCTTGCCACAGTTTAGGTGGAGACTAACTCATGCTGGGTATACCGAAGTACCACGAAGTACCATGAGTACAGTGGTAATTCGGTCTGCAAGGTTTCCCAGACAGAGAGGAGACACAGCAGAAACTGAGCCAGAGCAATACCAGATCCACTTGGAGCACCTTAGCGCTACCGTGATAAACACGATTAACGTGGTTAAAATGCCAGTTGACAGGGTTTCACAGCAGAGTCTCCTCTCTGGACACAGAAGCCGGATACATTCCACAGAGTTTCATTATGGACACAGCAGCACACTGTTTACACTACTGCAGCCAGCTCTGAGTGCACCTTCATCTCTTACTTGGTAGCGGCAAACAAGCACACCCATAAAAGCAAAGAGGCAGAAACAACACATCTGTCACTTTAAAGTAAATACCAAGTATGGTGTGTGATAAAACCTTCCATTGAAAGATGGCTAGAAGCAGCGGCAGGGCCAGCACACACACAGGTGTACCTAACACTCAACAGTGCGGCTCGCCTTCTGGTCCACAAGAAGGCAAAGTCAGGAGGACTGTGAGCTTGCTTGCTTAAATGAAGTTGACACTTCTTCCTTACAACTTTTCTTACACCAGAGCTGATTTTAACAGTGTGACATAACGCACAACACGCAAGGAAACTGCGGCAGAGATGCACTTTTAGGACACAGTCCACTAGATCCTTTGGATTTAGCAAGCAGTGAGAGTTTGATCATGTAATGTGATGCTCATAGATAGGTCTAAAGTTTGTAGTTGTAATTAAACATCTGAAAATTTGTAAAACAAATCTACACAAAATTGTTTTCTGTATGGGCTTAAAGTGTCCAATCAGAGAGCAGCTGGTTCCATTTCCTGAAAAGTGTAGTGTGTTTTCAAAATCCTCTGGTTGCTGAAGGCCCTATGCAACAGTGCGTTTTGTAAATCTACTTCTCCTTTTGGGACCTGCAGCAGCAATTAGGCCAGAAACATAACTGGTAAAGCGACCATCACTATCTCTCTTCTGATTGGACCGTTACAATGTATCTCAAGATCAAGGAAATCCAATCAGATCAGAGGGTCAGATTTTATACTGGGAGCTTTGATCTGTGGCGATCTACATGGAGTTTTGTGCTTCGTATCTGTATACAAGATCACAAAAGCACATCTTTCTCCACACCACAGTCTACAAAATACCACCACAATTACGTCACCCAGTGTTTAGTGGCTGTCACCATCTTGGTGTTTTAAAACCCTCACACGTGAGGGGTGGACCTGACTTAAAAAGCGAGGGACACTGCACTTTTATGTGCGGTCGTGACTTTTCAATCACCAGGTAGGCTCATAGCTGGCTTCATCCTCAGAGAGCCATAATTTCCGCCACGCTGTATTCAATCAAATCTGAAACCAGCGATTTTAAGCATAAATTCACGTGGAAGTTTTTAAAATAAAAAACAGCAGTAGGATAATTTCCCAAAGGACCTATTTTTTTTTTTTTTTTTTTTTTTTTTTTTTAAGAGGTCCGGTTTCGGAAGTGAACCTCCCATCCACTTTCTCCACTGCCATTTCATCAGATCCTTATATAAAGAGTTTAAAGCCTTGAACCGAACCAAGCCAAGCAGCTACACACAAAGATTTGATCTGCATCACAAAAAAACAGAACATGGAAAAGCCAAAGGTATAAGATTGTTCACTTTTAACAGTGAAGTAACTACTCATGGGTTTTCAAGTGACCTGACATTTTGTGGTTTAAACGCTTCCATAGTAACAACGGTCTCCATCCATCAGTCTTTGAGGATTGTGGGAAGAATAATTTCTTTTCCATGACATCGTGAATAACACAGGATTTTATTAAAACAAGGTTGATATCATACCATCATTTTAGCGTCACAGCTCGTTGAAAGTCTACTCTCAATGCCTACAGCATTATGGCTCATAATCAAAATCCCTATGGAGAATATGAATGGGATTTTTACTTTAAGATTCCCATTGTGGAGCGCCATACAACCATTTTTTATCTGAGTTTTTGGCAACCACAGGGCTCGCCCCTGCTGAAGTTGGGTCCCATCTTTTATACACAGAACAACTTTTGTTTTTGCATTGTGATGAATAATGAATTTTTCCATGTACATTTAGCTTACAAAACATCATTTATGAACAGCGCTTTACTTTAGTCCAACATTTTTTACCCTAATTTGAGCCACACTACACCACACCACATAACTATGTAAAGCATTCAGAAGAACAACCTAAAAAAAATCTGATGAGAATAAATCAGAACTAACGCAAATCACAGCAGAACATAATTTAGGTTTCATCAGATACTTTTTTGAAATACTGCATAAATAAATGGTACAAATATCTGCAGGGCTCATATCTGTTACTGATGTCAGAACAAAGTTTTACTACAGCTGGTGGAGACTTCAGTGAACACATGTTAGTCCAGATGGTTTACACAAGAGATGTTAATCAACTTAGCTCTCAAGCTGAACTAGATTTAACCCTGGTAATAAAGAATCTGCTTCTCTAAAATACAGTTACTGCTAAAACATGAACCTCCAGGCTACAGATACGCATACTCTGTTTGGCACTGCCTTACACCAGAATACTGACTTCAAATACAAGAGAGAGGCTTTACCAAAATAAGGCACGCTAATTGAAATCAACAGCTCATTTCCCACGGCAATGTCATTAGCGCGCAGTCCTAATGAACAGAATATAATTTAGCTAAGTTTTAGGGCTGTGTTTGTTTAGTAAATGCAGCATGTTAGACGTGCTCTGACCCATCCACAAACTACACAAGCACACTGAGGTGTGTCAGCTTCCTCTGCCAAGAGAACATACCGTGACACAGACTCCAGTGCAAAACACATACAAGGTCTCCAAAGGCCAAAAATGAAAAGAGGAATAAAATAAAGAACACATACACGTGCTAAATATCTACTGAAACATGGTTTCATGTCTTCTACTGAAAGGTGAAGGTGAGCTTGTTTTTGTATTTTGTTAGTGAGCGCAGGTTAATTCCCCGGAGTTCTTGGGAAGGAGGAGGTTTTATAAGGGGGACAAATCTGCTTTTCAGCACCTGGAGAAAAAACAGGCTGCACGTAGAGCTAACAGCCTGAATACATCAATTAAACTCAGTCATCCCTCTTAATTTGCAGCTAATGAACACAGAAAAACACCAGCATTCAGTCGGTTTCTGCGTGCACGACACTGAATGTGACACGGCAGAGCACGGCTGGGCTCAAACAATGAGGAATGGTGGTAGGAGTGTCGAGAGAGAGGAGTGAAACTGGGAAGTGTGTGCGAGTGTGGCATGCAGCAGGCAATCCTCAGAGGCTAAAATGTGGGTTGACGCAGATTAAGGAGACTCCCTTCCTCCCAGATGAATGGTGTGCATTTTAATTACACGAAGACAGTTTCACATGGGCTCATTATAGGAAAGAGAAAGATAAAAGGGGGACTAGGAAAACTCGAGTGGAAAGAAGAAGAGATGAAAAAGACAGGAAAATGAGGAATGAAGGGAGAGGTTAGGGAGGGTTTGAGAAGGAAACAATTTCAAGACTCAACTATGTCGACAGCACGTAAATCACTACTTTTCACAGTCAAACTCAACATAAAACACATAAAATATGAACAGAATCCAATTAGACAAACAGGAAGACTCGCGCTCCTGAATGTCAACAAAGGCAAGTCTCCATTATCCCTGACAGGATGTCCTGTCTGTTTGACCCTGCACTCACTGCATGAGCTTCTATAAGTGCTGACCGCTGCTTGGAATGAATCAATGCTGTTCACTATTCAACACATCTACTCCTGTTTATTTAACCCAGCTGGTAGCAGTTCATTTCAACGCAACAGCGCAGTACATTTATCAGCCTGCAGGGGATGATGTTGAGCTACGTGCAAGTGCCAAGCTCAAGCTTTTTCCCCCCCTTCCCTTCTCAGGGCTGGTATACAGAAAAGTCTTTATCTGCTAGGTTCATAAATGCCAAGACATTTACTGAGATATGAGCTGACACCAAAGTGAAACTACAAGGAAAATTTAAGCGGCAAGATTCTGGCTGTGCAGCGAGTTTACCCATGTTCTCTGACCTTTCTACATCTTTCTATCCTCATTCTTTTCATTTCTTTACTGTGCATCTGTCGTTGTGCAAGGTGCACGCCGGCTGATACAAATTTCTTGCGTGCCACAGCTCGTCTTCCATGTGAGAGAAAAAGAAGGAGAGGCGGAGAAAAATGCGAGGTGCATGCCAGCTTAACGAGACAGTGCGATAGGACAGAAAAGTAGGGACTGAAGGCAAGAAAGAAAAGGTAAAAAGTCAGACTTTTGGATTAAGATCTGCTTTGAGGGAGGAAAAAAACAGCAAAGCTTCAAAATGCAATAAAATGTGTGGAACAGTCTTAGTATTCTGCTGTTCTGAGACTCATGTGGTGACATGAAGCCTTTCATGTGCCGTTCAGACAGGACTAGCCTTTCAATGTGACACAACCTGACACACCATCACATGAAATGATGAATCCTTCTCTTTGCTTGTACCAGAAGAGGAAGAAAAAACATGCGCGGTACAGCCCTCCGGGCTCGTGTTAGATAGCAGAAGGCCTGTGCCTGCGTTCATTTGCAGCGCTTCGACGGCTACGTGAGCACAAAATTGAATCACGCAGGAAACTAACGCACACACGGGTGCAACAGTGGACGGCGACACTGAACGCAGGTGCCTTTCAGCATGGCTGACTACACATACCGCGGAGACACACTGAGGCATCTAGGCACACTATAAATACTTTCCTGCTGACCCTGACCTGTGGGAGAGGAGACACGAAGCAGATGATGGATGACCACGATGGTCAAAGCAATAGTCATGCGTTACAGACCACCCAGCAAGTTCTGCACTTGTACATCTGCTCTAACATGTATGCACTTGTACTCTATAGAAAAAGAAATATGATGTCATTTCTTTGATCTGAATGTTCTCAGAGTAACGCTCAAAATAAAACTTTCTTGTTAATGACCACAGAGTGTATGACCACCAAAACCAAACCTTACAATGTCCTAGCTGCTGCAGGCAGGGTACACCCTGGATAGGTCACCAATCTTGACAGATCATCATCATCAGGTGTGCTGAGTGAGAGCTGAATTTGACTGTGAAAGCAAAGGGCACCGCAGCCCTGAAGAATACCTTTTATTATCTACTTTACTTTTACTGGTGGTATCAGCGGAATATATTGTAGCGGCAAATTAGACTTCAAACAAGCAACTGAGACCACAAACTTATTAAGAAAGTGTTTTAATGAGGTCATATAACAATTAACAGTACTGTAATTTTCTCATTCTCACATGCAAGTCATTTTCTTTTGGCAAACTCACCTGTCACCTCCTGCAGACCATTAGAATCAATGCAGTTTCATATTTTACTACACAGTAACTCTAAGATCAATTAAGTGCTACAGATGCTATTTTATGCAGACAGAATGCAGCTGCTTACACAGCAACATGCACTCCAGTGTGAGAGAGGACATCGATGCATGCAAAGCGAGCACACACAAAACATAACAAAAAGCAGGAGAAGATCAACATCAAGTATTTTAATATTAACATAGCAATAACATTAAATAATCTAATGATGACTAAGGAATTTATCATTAGATGTAGTTCTAGTTGTGTTTCTGCCTTGTGCCCAGTATTTTCTTTCTACATCTAAATGACAAATGCAAAAACAAGTAAACAGACATCTTTTACAGTTTATCTTTAGATTGCTTTTTAAAAAGAATCAACCTTTTTAGTGCCTTTAAGTCTAATCCTGCAAGGCTATCACTTTGTTTATTTTAACAATGGACAAAATGACTAAGACTCTTCCGGTTCCTTCAGCTCTATAAAGCCTTGTGGGAGGTTTTGGCCTCTTTTTAACAGTCATAAGTGCCAAAATTACCACCAGACAGGATGATCTCATGTTGCAATTTGCATGGTGGAAATTTCATAAAAAGCAGAACCCCAGGGCATAACTTCACTGTTTTGGTTCAATCTCTCTGCTCTCATTTCACCATTTTCTGCCCCAGCGGGCAGCTAATTTTCTGCAAAACACTATGACAAACCCACTATACACAAACCTCCCCAGCAACTAACAGCAGAGCTTCAAAGACACTGAATGTTTGCTGAGCAAATTAAAGCATTTAACACAGGAGGAGGTAATATTTCCCAGGATTTAATGACCAAAAAAGAAAAAAAAAAAAAGCTAATAGAAGAGCCAATATTAAACTCACTCCACCAGTTACTAATAAAAATAAATGCAAACTTTGATCCTGCTGGGTATCAAATTGATAACTATTCACCAAATAAACTTCAAAGCTCATAATGATTCTCTTTTTGTGTTACATGCAGAGGAAAAGTTAGGTCAGCTATTTGATTTAAAAAAACAAACAAAAAAAAACCCCACTTCTAACACTGATCACATGTTTGTTCTGAGAAAGGTTGAACCACATCATGCTAACTGCTGAACTACTATGACACCTCATCTCTGTCAAGTTCCACGGAGGAAGTACCACTTCAAAGTGTCAAACCAGCGTCCCGACGCCTCCGCCACTGCAAGTTCATCCAATAAAACCCAACCGACACAAAAACTGTGCCATATCTTAACTTTTATAACATATTTATAGCATTTATATCCAGGTGGCTCCTTGGTAAGATCTCTGGGAGCTTTTCATCCAAGAAAGCAAGTCCATTAGTGATATTATTTCAGCTTTGCTTTTACACGATTACACATTTGTCCTCTTGCCTCACAACAGTCACAGTGAAAGCAGCAAAAAAGTGGACATTAGATTTTGGATCTTAACTATTAGTTATTATTTTTTATATTTTCTTTTCACTCTGCACGGCGGGAACGTGACAGAGATCGCTGAGATGCTTTTAAAAAAAGTCACAATTCACATTTCAGTACTATCGTTATTATTAATATCACACTGAGACATTTGTTGTTATTAATAGTTCCGCTTCTTCTTCTCTCTGCCGCTTATTTACATGTCGGCTGCTGCTTGGTTTACTTGGCTTCTGCTGTTTTTGTTGCTCTCTTGCTCTCCTGTTATCAACTAAATGGAATTATCACATTTAAAGGGAAGAGGAAGGTAATGAAAGCAGCAATTTTAATGTTCAAATAATATACATGGGACTAACGAGGAGAGTATCTGCAATTGAAACAAAACCAGGGAAAAGATACAACATGTCCTCTTACCATACTATACAACCTTTATTTATAGAGAACTTTAACATAAAACCAGGGTTCACAAAGTGCTGTACATATACAAATAGCATAAACTAAAACTAAAATCATAATAAAAAACCCCTCTTGCTTTTTCTCACTTCCATCCTATTCTCGCTCAAAACCCCCGGTAACTCAAAGGTTTTTAAAGAAAGGCTGAGGCAGTTTGGGGTTTAACCGATGCCCAGTCTGGTTGTTTTGAGAGACTGTGTGCATGTGAATGAAGTGAAAGCCGCTTGAAATTACTTCAGCAGTACCATGCGGGAGAGCAGGGTGGGGTCGTCTACTAAAAGAGACAATCATTTTCACTGTTATACTGAATGGATGACTCTCCACTGAAAGTAAGAGCAAAAATACACTGCAGAGCCACGAGCAAAAGAAGCGCTTCCTGAATATCTGCATAAAGCCATGCTGAGGTTTTATAATTATAACAGGAAGTCTGCACTGGACTACAAAGAAGTCTCTGCTGTGATGACGTTTCCCCATTAACCCAAACCTTTTTCAGCCCTACCACCAAACAGAGAATGCTAGTGTTTGCTGTTAGCCGCTGAATCTACTGATTTAGGGAGTAATTGAGGGCAAACTACAGGTTACCGATCTAGAGAGAAGCAGAAGTGCCACACTGTCTGTAGATTTTGTGCATTATCCCTGACCCAATTCTATATATACAATATATGCATGTGTGCATGCAAAACTGCACTTTACTGTTAAGATTTAACTGTTCCTTCTTTAGATAAATGTAAAAATACAAACTACAGTATAGACCAGTGAGTTATATGGCTTCAGTTTCTGATACAACAGTAACTATAAAACACAAATACCAGCTATTTTCTTTGTTATAGTTCAAATGAAGCGAATAAAACTGCAAATACAAATCTGGCTTAAGAACTGACGTACTTTAATCTTCATGCATCATGCATAATATCATATCATAGAAATTGAGAAATCTCCAGAGAAAGCGTGTAAGTAGATAAGAGGACATTTCTTAATAAACTACAATCTCAAGCTGAAAATGATTCTCAGTTTTTAATGTTACTTTGCAAAGCTTGCTATGCAAAATAAAATAAAAAAAAGATGGGCAATTTTCTCCTTTTATTAATCAGCTCGTTCGGGTTCTGTCTTTTCCTGGGCTGAAGTAGGTCATAGCACCAGAAAAAAAGCAGCTCTTTGTCCCCTCCGGCAAGACAAGGACAGAAGGAAAGGGGATGAAGAGGAGGGTTAGCGAGGTCTGCAAAGTGGGCCAGATCATTTCACTGGAAAACAATCAACTCCATCCAAGTGCCAGAAGCCACTTATAATTGTGTATTCTCATGTTAATACTACACCCGTATAAACCTGAGGAGCACTAATCCTCACAGGAGTGTTGCCATTAACATTAATGGGAGCTGATCGGAGTGTCCGCACTGACCCTTTTAACCAAGCCAGATGTTGATTGTAAACAGAGCTAATGCTCAGTCCAGCTGAGACGCTCGCGCACACAAACACTTTTGCACACACTCATTTTTCCTCCACTCTCCCAACTTCCCAATTTCATCAAAAGCTTTCATTGTGGTAGCTCTATACCCCAAAGTAGGGCAGCACCGGCAGCGCGTTAGTGACTATTTAAACCTGTGCCAAGGGCAGAGGAAACCTGCTAGGCACAAACACATTTCCTAATAACGCAGTGATGTCTTATCTCAGCCTGCAGCCACATCAACGTGCCACCTCTATGAAAAATGACATTTAGGAAGCAATTAGGGGAGAGGCTTAAAAGCTTCTGAAAGGCCATGTGATATTCACGGGAGCTGGAGAGGCTTTAAATGGAAGCACTGGGCCACTTTTTTAACGCCAGTATAGTTACAAAAACATGGTGCTTCCTCTTACCGCGACCAAACAAAATTTCACAATTACCATCGTCTATGCAAAACTGTTACACCAGCTGTTCCCCGGCTCGCATCAAAGGAGCCGCAGCATCGCATCAACTGAGCTGTCAGTCACTGATGGACTGGCAGGGATGAGAGTCTTGCAGCAAAGTCAGCAGGGAGCATAACTCATCAGAGCTTAGCAGGGATGAGGAAGGCTGACAATGGCTTCTAGTGTATACACAAATAATGGAAACATCAGAAAAAAAGCAACAAAGACAAGAACTCGAGCAAGGAAGTCAATATGGAACAAGATGTGGCAGCTTCATCATTTAGAATGACCAAAACTACAACCCACCAGGATGTCAGTCAGCAGTATAGAATCATGGCTACAAGCTGAATGTGAAGCTGCCCAATAAAAAAGTGCAGAAAAATCAGCTGACCATATTGTGACTCTAAATATGTTTTTTTGTTTTTAACTTGAGGGCTTTTTCTATAGTAGCTGCTTGAGTATCGGCCTGGCAGGCTGCTGTTACCGTGTGCTGAGACCATAAGAGATAACGCGACTGCTGCTGCTGCTTAGTCAGCTTCCTATTCAGAGATGTGTGTCCACACCAACGCTCTGTGATGAGCAGCGTGAATAAGTTCTGTTTTCAGTGCATATAAGTGAGTGTGTGTGTGTGTAAGTGCACCATATGTTTCAAAGCCCTGCAGAATCGTTATTTTTAAAAGTCAAAGAGATGGACAAACCGAGGAGGAGGTGAGCTATTCTCTCTAGCCTTTAGCTGCCACACTGAATGTCTGACTTGCATGCATGTGTCACTAGAGACTTATCATCGAGCGTGGGCAAGAGTCCCTACAGACAAGTGGTTGCAGGGGTTTTTCTGTGGTCTACTGGGAAAAAAAAAAACCCAGAGGATTTTGAATAATGTGAACTTTCAAGCTTA